TCCCCCTGGAACTGTCAGTCCCGTTGTTTTCTCCTCCAGATTGTTCATCCAGCCTGTCCTATCCAGACGGGCTTGACCTTGCCTCTAGGCTCTCCCTCAAAGAAACAATCCACTACCCTTATCAGAAGGGAGTGGACCCTACTTAGGTGGGACAGGCTATACAGTCTGATTGCTCTAGATGGCTGATAGTCCTTAGGGAGAATAACCTCTAAACTGCTTGGGTTGACCTCCAAGTGTATAGTCTTCATGTTAGCAAGCAGCGTCTTAGGTTTGGCAAATATTTGGGGGACACAACCTGGGGAAAAATCCTTTTGCATCCCACAATCACAGGCCAGTGGGTAGAGTCTTGTGGATCCAGTGGCAGTAGAATCATCTTAGCACTGGCGTGGGTCTCCACGTGGCTCCTCCAGTTCCTAGGTCATGGGGTATATCAGCTTATCAGTAGAGAGTCTTTCAGGGAGTGAGCACTGAGAAAGTACGTTTCCCACCTCCAAGGAGGAAATCCAGGAGTTCCCAGAATTCCCGGGAGAAGGCCATGCCCACACAGAGGCCTCATTGGCTATGACCCGATTGGCAGACTAGACTCCGCCCCTTCACTCTGAATCCTCTCAAGTCCCTAATTGACACCAGATTATGTAACTACCACATATGTGACTACGGTATCAAGAAAACCATAAGAAACCAAACTTGACCAGTGGTTACCATAGGTGAAGGGGAAAGAGCATCTAATTGTTGGTAGAATAATTTGGAAAAGAATATCAATAGTTGGCTGTACAGCAGGAAAAGTATAATTAATGACACTGAATTTTACAAGTAGAAGTTGTGGAATTGGAGAATGGTCCGTTGTGCATATTTTTGCCACAATTAGAAGAAAAACAATTACAAGAACAAGTGACTACAAGGAAGAAGAAAATGTTCAAGAATTGACTATGATGACAATTTTACAGCTCTTCTTGATATGACTGCATTACTGAATTGTATGGCATGTGGATACAGTGTTAATAACACTGTTTAAAAAAAAAAAGACATGTTAACATTAGGTAAATCTGCTGCACAAGACCCCTGTCATGTATTGAAATTCAAGGATGTTACTTTGAGGATTAAGGTGTGCCTGACTCAAGCCATGGTCTTTCCCACCACCTCCGATGCATGTGAAGTTGGACACTGAATAAGGAAGACTGAAGAATGATGCATTTGAAACGCCGTGCTGGAGAAGACTGTTGAAAGTACCATGGACTGCTACGCGGACAAACATCTGTTGTGGAAGAACTGTGGCCAGAGTACTCCTTAGGAGCAGGGATGGCGAGACTTTGTCTTACATACTTTGGACATAATTGTCCAGAGAGACCAGTCCCTGGGGAAGGACACCATGCAGTGGAGGGGCAGCGAAAAAGGATGGATTGAGATGGTGGCTGCAACAGTGTGCTCAAGTATAAGAGCAATGGTGAGGATGATGCAGGACCAGGCTGTGTTTCCATGGAAACAAGGGCATCGGCAAAGACCTTCACAGGTCCTGGGTTTTAGGACTTCAACATAGTCTTCGTTTTTTTCCGGATTTTGGGGGAGAGGGGGCGTTGGGGGAAGGGCACATTCTGCGCAGTGCAGGGGGATGTGGTTGCAGGTGCGTTGCCAGGTGTTAATCCTTTAGTTTTAGGTGGTGGGGGGATTCTGGGGCGACCCTTGCAGGGGTCCCCTTGCAAACTGTTTACCTGCCGGCACGAAAACGCTGCCCTGTTAACCACCAGCTGGGTGTGGACCGCCCATGGGACGCCGGCACCCACGCCCACTGACACCTCTCTGCCCTCCTCTGCCCACAGGCTACGAAGTGACGGTGCTGGTGCGAGACTCCTCCAGGCTGCCCACCGAGGGGCCCCAGCCGGCCCACGTGATTGTGGGCGACGTCCGGAAGGCGGCCGATGTGGACAAGGCCGTGGCTGGGCAGGACGCCATTGTCGTACTGCTGGGCACTGGCAATGACCTCAGTACTGAGCCCCCCCTCTGCCCACGGCCTCCCCCTGCACCCAGGCCCCCAGCGCCGCCCCCGCCCCCTGCCCCACCCCTCCCACCCCAGCCTCCCCCACCTCCCACGAGTGACAGCCCTTCTCTGCCCTCTAAGGTCCCACCACAGTGATGTCCGAGGGCGCCCAGAACATTGTGGCAGCCATGAAGGCTCACGGCGTGGAGAAGGTCGTGGCCTGCACCTCGGGTGGGTGGCGGGGGTCCCCGGGTGGCGCTAAGCTGGGCGCGGGTGGATCCTGAAAAGGCCGAGCTCTGACATCCAGGGCCTTTGGAGCCATTCCGCGTTGCTGGGCATTTATTGGGCACTGACTGTGTGCCTGCACTTGGCTGGGGGCTTGGTGGTGGTCAAAGGGGAGGGAGGTGATATGCGGACACAGCTGCAGACACTGACCACTTGGGCTGGGACAGGGGTGTGGCGGGGAGGAGCCTGTGGGTGTGGTCAGGGAGGAGCCAGCAGGGGTGTGGCCAGGGGAGCAGCCTGCGGGCAGGGATTACGGAGGAGGCAGGGCAGTGGGAGGTGTAAAGGCCTCTGGGACTCCGGAGGCGGTCCCTTGGAAGCCCTTTCTGCACCGGCCAGCTGTCTGCCAGTTTGTGGGGCGGGCGGTGGTCATTACAGGAGCTGCCCCAGTCCCCTTACAGGAAGGAGACAGGTGCCACAAGGCAGCATTTGCTGTGCACCGCCACAAGCGCCTTAGAGATGGTTGCTAAAAACCTCACTGCCATCGTGACCTTTGAACTCTGGAGACCCTATAGGTCAGAGTAGAAAGGACCTTAACCCACAGGGCCTTCAGCGTTCCTGTTGGATTCTACCACCACAAAACACCGCCATCAAGGGGATGCCAACAGATAACAGCCCTGTGGGTTCAGCCCTGGGCTGCTAACTGGGACTTCAGTGGTTCCACACACACACACCCCTCTCTCCCTCTTGGGGAGAAAGATGAAGCTTCTTGGAAACTCCCTCCCTCCCATGAGTGGATTCCAACTCACGGCAGCCCTGCAGGACAGGGTGGGACTGCCCCTGTGGGTTTCCCAGGCTGTAACTCTCTCACGGCATTGAGTGGATGCCGATTCAATTGCCCCCGTGGCTTGCTGAACCGGTCACTAACTTTACAGGAGCACAGAGCCTCCTCTTTCTCCCACAGAGCAGCTAGTGGCTTTGAATTGCTGACCGTGCGCTTTGCAACCCAATGCATAAACTACAACACTAGGAGGAATCCTGGAAATCTTGCCCCGGGGACTGTGACTCTCAGTCGACTGGGTGGCAACAACAAGCTCTAGTTCAGACTGGAACTGCTCCGTAGGGTTCCCAAGCTGTCACGTGATGGGAGCAGACTGCCACATCGCTCTCCCCAGGCGCAGCTGGGGGGTTCCAACCACTAATCTTTCTGTTAGCCACAGGGCACTTTAACCACGGTGCCACTCGGGCGCCTTGCATCGCACAGTGACCCAAGCAACTTGCTGCCATCGAGTTGATCCTGACTCCCAGCGCCCCTATGCTACAGTGAGGGCTCAGTACCAAGCAGTCGGGGTCTCAGAAACCCACAGGGGCGGTCCTGCTCTGCCCTGGAGGGTCACTGAGTCAGAAGGGCCCCATGGCCGGGAGTTTGGGTTTTGTGCAGCTAAGGGGAATGAAGCCTGTGGCTGCCGGAGCTGGGGGACCCCAGGCGGTTCCAGAGGGGCGCCCATCTCTCATGGCTGTTTTCTCAGACAAATTGCCTCCCTGAGAGGGCCATGCCCCAGGCAGGGCCCAAGTGGAAAGGCCTGGCTGCCGGCCAATGGCTGCGGGAAGGAAGCAGAGCGAGTTAGGGGTGTTCTCTCACAGCCTGGCAGCGCGTGGAACAGACAGAACCTGCTGTTTTAGAATGGTCCGTGCCTGATTCTGCATAGCTTCTATATCTATCTATCTTGAAGGCCGGTTTGAGAGGTGAAAACAATGTCTGCTTCTCTGATAAAGCCCAAATCCCATCCTGACTCATAGCAACCCTACGAGCCAGAGTAGAACACCGCTTCTTAAGAGTTTCTGAGGCCGCACATCTTTATGGAAGCAGACAGCCTCACCGCTCTCCCTAGGAGAGGCTGGAGGGTCTGCACCACACCATACTTGCAGTTAGCTCCCCGCCCCCCACCTTAACCCACCATGCCACCAGAGTTCTATGATTTAAAATTAAAAAAAAAATTTTTTTTTAAAGCACTGCCATCTGACTCAGCGACCCCACGCCTCATAGATTATTCTTGACACGAACAGAAAACCTCAACTTTCTCCCTCGGCATGGTCAGTGGGTTTGAGCTTCTGATCTCTTGGTTAGCATTCGAAGTCGAAATCCACTACCCCACCAGGTCTTCTTTTATGATAAGGGACTGTACTAGTAACTGAATCTTTTGTTATTTTCTTCAAATTTCTTTTTGTTGAGGTTTGGTGGTTTGTTTTAAGACAATTGAGTTCTGTGTGTCAGGGTTTGTTTCTTTTTCTCATTTAAAACAAAAACAACTTTTGATTTGGAATTTTTTTCACGCTTACAGAAAGTTGTAAGAATGCCCCTATCGTTCACTCAGATTCACTAAGTATTCCTAAATTATTCTATTTTCCTCATTCTATCTATCTCCCTCTTTCTCTGTGTGTATTAAAATTTAAAAAACAAAACAAAACTTCACTGCCATCAAGTGAATTCCAACATGATTTATAGCAACCCTACAAAACGGAGCAGAACTGCCCCGTGGGTGTCCGAGATTGTCAGTTTGTACAGGAGTAGAAAGCCTCCTCTTTCTCCCTCAGAGGAGCTGCTGGATTTGGACCCAAAATCTTGTGTTTAGCAGCCCAATGCTTAGCCTCCTGAACAACCCAGGGTTCATCTACATTTTTCTGGCTCACATAAAATATAATTCCCCACCTCCGCTGGCTCATCTGAGGGACCCTGCGTGGCACAAAGGGTGTGCGCTTGTCTACAAGCCCTGAAAGTGAGCAATTTAAACCAGCCAAGATCAACCTCTGGTGCAGTTTACTCTGAGACCTGGGGTCCTGAGGAGTCAGAATTGGCTTGAGGACAAAGGGCTGGGGTTGACATCCCTCGTGGCCTTTCTCGTCCCCGTGCACTTTGCTAACGAACATTTCTAATCATTTTACTATGGAAGCTTTGAGCGGAAATGCCGACTCAAAATTTGGTGTTTTATCTACGAACACGCACACAATGGTTTTTGGTTTTATTTTGCAAAAGTATTGGACATTTGTTTCTAACTCCACCCCCCAGGACATTTTACCCCCTTGGTATTTCCTGAAAAAAGAAAAGGGAACTGGAATCCCAAAGGCAGCCCAGGGAGAAGGTTCAAGTTGGGGGGGGGGGGCGGTGTAGGAAGGTGGGAGGAGGAGGAATGGGAGCCAGAAGCTCGGAGGAAGAGTTGCGTTATGGGATTGCAATCAAAGTCACAACACACGTGCAAAGTTGTTGACTGAGAGACCAGGCGGTTCTGACCGCTGGCCCAAATCACAATACGACTTTAAAGAAGCAAAGGGAGCCTTGCCGGCACCGTGGTGAAGCGCCGATCAGAAGGTCAATGGGTTCAAACCCACCAGCTGCACCTGAAGGGGAAGCCGTGGGCAGTGGGCTTCATTGAAGATGTCCAGTGTCAGAATCCCTGTGGGACAGTTCTATTCGTTAGGGTACACTAACCCTCCATATGGGACTAGGGGCTGCTATAGCTACTCCTTGGGCGAGAGGAGGCTTTCTACTCCAAGAGGTACCGTCTTGGAAGCCCACCATGAGAGCTCTACTCTGTCCCTTGGGGTCTCTGTGAGGTAGTGTCAACCTGATGGCGATGGAGTTTGGGTTGGGTTGGATTTTTAAAGAAAAGAAATGAATTTCCTCTTCTGGAAGTACAATATGATTATGATACCTGAGAAAATGAGCCCTAATTCTCTTCTACCCTGTAATCATTAGAGGATACTATTCCCTCCATATTCAAATTTCACGGAAAGGATTAGAAAGAGCCTTGTTCTCTAAGGAGCTTGGAGTTGAGAGCCTGGGCAGGATCTTCCAACCGTGTGGAATTACTCAGGCCCATCAAGTCAGTTCCCACTCAAAGCCACCTTGCTCCGAGGGAGAAAAAGAATGTGGCTTCTACTTAGAGTAAAGTGACCAGATTTTAACATTGGTAAAGCGGGACACCGCTGATAAAACTCATATCCTGGCAAAATAGCCACATGGCAGCCGAAAACCGTATAGCTTGTCGTGCATTCTTTCCAAATATCAGGACTTTTTTTAAATGCCGCGGGACACAGGAAAAATTGTTAAAAATCAGAACTGTCCCACCAAAAGCAGGACATCTGGTCACCTTAACTTAGAGAGTTATAGTCCCCAAACCCACAGGGACACTTCTGCTTGTGAGTGCGGATTTAGAAGGCATGGAAGTGGGGTTCTGAGGCTCTGTGGCTTTGGGTCACAGAGAACACTGCTCTCTACCTCATGGGATTGGCCTGAGGAGCCAGGGAGATGATACTCCCACGCTGAAGCATGGCCACCCTGCGAGTGTCCATGGAGAACTTAGCTCCACGGGCTTGGCTGGGACTGGTTCTTCAGAAGTGGGTCTTCCCAGAAGCCTCTGGAGCACACAGCCTGCCCACCTTTCAGTTGGCAGCTGAGCCGCCCTATCAGCGGGCACCACCTTGTTGCACTGGGACACAAACAGGATCGCTATCAGATGGAGTCAAGGGATGGCAACCGGCCTGGGGTATTGGCTCTGTTTTGTTTCAGTAGGAGGAGTGTTAGGGCCCAAAGACTGCATGTCTGGATTTCACATAGGGAAGGAGGACCCTGCTCAAAGGCAGCCTTTTTTCAGCAGCTCTCCACCCTCCTCAATGCCGAGGCCCTTTCACACACTTCCTCATGTGCTGGTGACCCCCAACTCAAATTACGTTCGTGCTACTTCATCACTGTCATTTTGCTACCGTTCCGAACCGGGCAACCCCTGTGAACGGGTCGTATAACCCCCAATGGGGTCGAGACCCACAGGTTGAAAACTGTTGCTTTAAGCAAAGCTGGGAGCAGACGAGGCTGAGAGAGATGAGTGGAGTGGGCAGAGGATTGGCCGCGGTAAAACTGAGGCCACAGTGGAGCTGAAGGCATGGTGGGAGGTGATGTCAGAGAGGGGGGCATGATGGGAGTCTTGGTTTTCTCCTGAATGAGATGGAGCTCAAGGAAGGTTCTCACTCGGGTTTCCCCAAGGTCTCTCTCTCTGTGTGTGTGTGTGTGTGTGTGTGTGTGTGTGTTGATGATGGAGAAGGGGCAGGAGGTTCTCTGTAACCATGGAGAAGACTGGATTGCCTGTTGTCAATTTGGAATCAGCATGCTTTTACTGACGTGTGTGGGGTGGGAGAGAAAGGGGGGAGTCTGGGAAGATGCCCCCTGTTAGCCCGAGTTTCCAGAAGGCCGCGGGAGCTACCTACCACATGGTAATTTTGTCATGACCCAGGACAGGAAAGGCTGGCAGGAAGCTGTGGGCCCGTCCAGCCCATTCTGAAATCAGAGCTGACCCTGCCTTGTCCCCCTCAGCCTTCCTGCTGTGGGACCCAGCCAAGGTGCCCGCACGGCTGCAGGACGTGACCGATGACCACATTCGGATGCACAAGGTGTTGCAGGAGTCAGGCCTGAAGTATGTTGCTGTGATGCCACCCCACATAGGTGAGTCGGGCGGGGATCCAGTGGCCAGATGCCACCAGCCTGTGCCCTCCTGCTCTCTGAGGAGTCCCACAACACCTTCCCTGGTCACCTTAAACTTGCAAGCCTTCCCCCTATAACTCCCCACCTTCTTCCCTTGCTTCTAACATACTACCCAGTTGTATCTATGTAACACACTGCCATCGAGTTGATGCTGACTCAGTGACCCTATAAGACAGGGTCAAACTGCCCCTGTGGGATTCCGAGACTGTCACTCTTTACGGGAATAGAAAGTGCCATCTTTCTCCAGTGGAGTGGCTGGTGGCTGGGTTCCAAGGAACAGAATCCAGAGAGAGGGGGAAAGGGAGAAGAGCCCTATGGAAGCTGTATGATCTGTGACTTGCCTTCAGGAGACATGTCGATAGGAGCTCTGGTGGTGAAGTGGCTATGGGTTGGGCAGCAATCCACGAGGTCAACAGTTCAAAACCACCAGCTGCTCCGTGGGAGAAAGACAGGGCTTTCTACTCTGGTAAACAGTGACAGTCTTGGAAACCCTCAGGAGCAGATCTGCCCTGTCCTACAGCATCCCAATGAGTCAGCATCCATTCCATGACAGTGAGTATGGCTTTTCTGGTTTGTACCCTTATTTATTACACGCCAGTGCCAAGGAGTATAGTCGGTGCTCAGTGTGTATTTGTGGGGTGAACTGATACCTGCAAACATCCCTTGCAAAGGTGTTTTGGAGGGCACCAGGAAACCACACCTACGCTCCCTCTCAATGAATCAGACCGAGAGAGAGATTCATTCACTCGGCGAGTGTTTCTTACCCGTCAACGGTGTAGGTGTGCAGCGTCACAGTCGCTGTTGCTGTAAAGTGCCGTCAGTCACTTCCAGCTCACAGCGATGCCATGGGCCATAGAAGCAAACACCCCGGGCACCTGTGCCGGCCTCACAGTGAGCTCTGTGTCAGCCCATGGGTGCAGCCGCCGGCAATCTGTCTTCCTCCTTTGCTGACCCTCGACTTTACCAAGGTGATGCCAGGGACTCTTCCTTTCTGGTTATGTGTCCAAAGCATGTGAGGCGAAGTCTTGTCATCCTCACGTCTAAGGTGCATCCTGGCCATTGCCCTGACAACACAACCTGTGAAAGCCAGACCTGGGTAAGGCGAAAGCTTGTCAAAGCAGGAAAATGCAGGGATGTCCCGCTCTCTGGAGAGCAATAGGAAAGTGGTAAGACTGTACCCTGTCAAAAGTGGAAAACTTTTTTCCCTTTATTTCTAAAATTTTTTCTCCCATATCGATGTAAAGAGACGTTTATATGAAAGACATAGTTGTTCACAGTTGTAGAGATGGGCGAGTTCCAAGTCTGTGGGTCAGGCTGGAGATTTCTCCTGACCCATATCTAGCTGCAGGGCTGATGAAACCAAGATCTAGCAGATCAGATAGCAGGCGTCTGGCTGCAGAGGCAAATGAATACAAGGTTGGCAGCTAGGAGGGCAGGCAGTTGATGACCCCCAAGATCGACGGGCTATAAAGCAGGCCGCTGGCTCAAGTCCAAAGAAGCAAAGGTCAGAGGATGAGCCAGAGGACTGCAGGATCCAGTGCCAACAAAATGCAAGCAAGCTTCTCCACAGCATCCACTGATATTGGAAGCAGGCCACACCCTCCTTGAGGGTGTGGCCTTGTAGGCGATTTCTAGCCTTAACTGCCAAACCACTGAAAATCCTGGCCCAGCCATGTTGATAGAAACAGGTATAGAACTTGCTGCAGTCCCCGCTCTCACAAGTCTCACTGTGTACACACTGGTGTTCTAGCCTGTGCTCACAAGAGGCCGACGTTGCTAGTGGAAGAGGCAGGCGTTAGAGCTATGGTATTCATGTTAGCTAGTGATGAGTCAAATGGAACCATAAAGGATGGCCAGAGAGACGGCAGGATGCCGTTTGTTTGCCAGGGACCAATCAGGTGACTATCGAGGACAGGGAGGCTGGGCAGAGGGAACAGCAATGCAAAGGCCCTGAGGCACACACTTGCATCTTTTCTGCATTTGCTTGCTCTCTGGAAGAGCAATTCTACTTTGCTCTGTACCTTGTGGGGGCCCTGACAGGAGCACGTCAGCACTTCAGGTGGCCCATCTACCACAGCACTGTCTCTAGGTCCTATAACACCTTCCAGTGGCTACAGAGAACTCAGAGGCACTGCTCAGGGTTTATTGAGCAGCTTTACAGGTTACAATTCAGCTGAGAAATGCTCGATTCAGTTCCCAAAGGACCTGTTAAAAAAGTTCCTTTTGGGTTGTTAATGAAGGCCCAAAGGTCAGGCCACTCCTCTGGAAGCCTCAACAGTAGGGCCCTCAGCTCCAACACTGGGCCCCCAAACCCGGCTCCCCCAATTAACTGCGCAGAGGCACCCCCTCTGCAGGCCAGCCTCCTGCCGCAACGCGTGACTTCTGTGAGCTGAGAAGTCCACCATTCTGCCGCATGTTCTGGCTCTGGGTTCTCTGCTGCTGCTGCTGCTGCTGCTGCTGCTGCTGCTGCTGCTGCTGCTGCTCTGCCCCTCCTGTCCAGTCAAAGCTGTCTGCTGGATCAAGGAGCTTTATTGCATGGGGATCTCAGGGCTCATGGGATGCGTTCCATTCTGACGCTTCTCTTTTCCTGGGAGCAAAAAGCCCCCATCTCTTGCTTCTGAGGTGGCTCATTTTATACCTAGCTGAACGGCAGTCACAATTAACCCTGTTAACTATCACTCACAGCTGAATCATAGAACCCAGTCAATATCTTCCCCCACCTTCTCACCCAGATCCATCAGGAAAACAAAGGTGGCAGTAACAGAGGCAATGACTAGAAGAGCCGTGTCAAAGAATCCGCTGCACCATAGCCCCTTCTCGTATACTACAGACATAGAGATGGACGTCTGTTTCCGATCCATGTAGAGTGGTTTGCAGACATCATCTCGCTCTGCGCTCAACAAGCATCTCCCAAGAATGAAGCTAAACTCTCAAAAATCAAACACTGCCGTGGTTGATTCCACCTCATAACGATCTTAGAGGACAGGGTAGATCTGCCCCTGTGATTTACCGAGGTTGTAACTCTTCACAGCGGGAGAGAGCGCCGGCTGCCTCCCAAGGAGGCACTGGTGGGTTCGAACTGCTGACCTTGAGCTTAGCAGTCCATGAGATGCCCTCTCAACATTGTGCTATCCCCACTGTCTCGGAAAGACCTAGTGGTGCTCCACGGCTGTGTGCTCTTATAAAGACTTAGGGTCTCAGAAACCCTCTGTTGGGTGGCTGTGATTCAGAATCAACTCGGTGGTAGTGAGTGTCTAATCCCTGCATGCAGGGATTCCTATCTCTTTGCCCCTTGCTTCGTGCCCAGCACCTGCAGCTGGTAGGTAACCCATAAGAACCTGTTGAATGAATGGTGCGAAGGAATCAAGCAAGCACCCTGCACGTAGGAAGGGGCTCATACATGGCTGGGCGGTATAGCGACAGCTGGTCACACAGGTGGCATTCTGGAGGGTCACGAAGTTAATCACACATCTCGGGAGGCGGAAAGAACCATGTGTTTCACTTGGCCCTTGTGTCTTTGCCTCACAGGGGACCAGCCTCTGACGGGAGCCTACTCGGTGACCCTGGATGGACGAGGCCCCTCTCGGGTCATCTCCAAACATGATCTGGGCCACTTCATGCTGAGCTGCCTCACCACCGACAAGTATGATGGGCACAACACCTACCCCTCCCACCAGTACGACTAGCACTGTGCCCCATCGAGCAGGACGGCATGCTGGGAAATGAGTAGCCCAGGAAGGCCAGCTGGAGAGTCCAGGAGCAATCCATCTTGAGCCAAAAGCTTCAAATTATTAAAAAAAATACCTCGCTCTGTGATGCTTCCTTTTTTTCTAGTAACTCCGGGTGTCTCTGCCTCCGTTAAAATTGCTGGGTCTTCATTCATTCACTTGAAATCTTCATCTGTGTGTCAGAGGAACCCTGGTAGCATAGCGGTTACTTGTTGGGCTGCGATCCTAATGGTCTGCAGTTCAAAACCACTAGCCACTCCTCAGGAGAAAGATGAGGATTTCTACTCCCATAAAGAGTTAGTTTCAGAAACTCACAGGGGCAGTTCTACCCTGCCTGCTAGGAGTCAGCATCGAATCAATGGCAGTGAGGTTGGATTTGGGGTTTTCTCTATCAGCATCCCTGCGTGCTCAGAGGGTTACAGGCTCAGCCGGCTGCTAACCCGACAGTTTGGTAGTTCAAGTCTACCCAGAGGCACCAGGAAGAAAGGCCTGGCAATCCACTTCTGAAAAACCAGCCACCAACAACCCAGTGGAACTCAGTTCCATTTTGACAAACACGGGAATGAGTGTTTGTTTGTTTGTTTTGTCTGGCCCTGTGCTGGGGACCCTTCAGTTCCCTTGAGGAGACAAGCCTAGCCTTCCAGGGAGGCCAGGGAGCTACTGGGGAAAGCACAGTGGAGCCGGGAGCCCCATGGAAGAGGGATCCTTCACCCAGCTTGAGGAACCAAGAGGGCTTTCTGGAAGGGGCATGTCTGAGTAGAAGCCTAGAGGGGCCAGGAGCCTAGAGAAGGTTCAGGGTAGGTAGCACTCTTGACCGTGAGCCCACAGAAGCTAAGACCAGGTGGGTCTTAGAAGAACTAATAATCTATGCCCTATAATTAATGCCAGGAGCCCTGGTGGCACAGTGGTTAAGCTCTCAGCTGCTAACAGACAGGTGTACCCCACCAACCAGTCTGCTTCCGGAATGATTCCAACCTTGGGAACCCCCTGGGGCAGTTCTACTCTGTCCTATAGGGTTTCCAGTGGTAAAGGGTGGAAAGTTAATACTTGTACTCAAGTGGGGGTGGTCAGCCACTGATTTGGGGGGTGGGGGTGACAGGGAGCTCAAGTTGTGTAGCATCATTTATAGTAATTTTTTTTTTAATGAGCTTAAATCAGGTGTTATGAAAGGAGGGGGCCCAAGTGGAGGCAGGAGTTAGGGGGAGGCAGCCAGGTGGGTATTTCAGTAGCATAGTGGGTGTGTGTTAGGCTGTGATCTGCAAGGCTAGTGGTTCAAAACCACCAGCCACTCCCCCGGAAAAAGACAGGGCTTTCTACTCCTGTGAAGAGTTACAGCCAGGGAAACCCACAGGGGCAGATTCACCCTGTCCTACAGGGTCACTACGTGTCAGTATCAACTTCCGTGGCAGCGAGGAAGCCCCCAACCCAAGATATCTGAGTATCTGCTTTTTTGCAGCCCACCCTGGGTCGTTCCTGGTGGCATTGTGGGTTAGGTGTTCAGCTGCTAACCGCAAGGCCAGCAATTCAAAACCACCAGCCTCTCTTTGGGAGAACGATGAGGCTTTTTGCTCCTGTAAAGAGCTATCAGCATCTGGGACACTCACGGGACAGCTCTGCCCTGTCCTACAGGGTAGGTACACGCCACCACTAGATGGTAGTGAGTTTTGGGGTTTTGTTTGTTTTCCCTCTGGTTACTATGGTGTTGAGAGCGCCTGAGGGGTCAGTACTGGAAGGAGTGGCTGAGATCGCCTGGGGGCACCGGCTGCAGGGGGAGGAGGGAGGCCGGCTGGGAGGAGCCGGAGCACGGCCTGTGGGGGAGGGGTGGCAAGCAGCTTAGAGGCCTCCTGTGGTGATCTGGTGACAGGTTTACAGTGCCCCCGGCCACGAAGAGGGGCAAGTTCGGAAGGGGGAAAAAGGGGGGGAATTGCCCCTCTTCCTAAGCATGTTCTTCCCTGGAATCCATTGTCCTCTGACTTTTTTCCCAGGGGACACCGTTTCCAGGCCGGCCGGAGGCACCCGCCCCCACCTCCATCCCACCGCCCCTGAAAAGCCCACTTCAGTCCAATGCTGCGTATGCAAACAGCAGGTTGGCTCGTTTGACAAATTCCAACCGGTGGGGACTGGTCTGGGGCGCTGGAAACCTCCCGCTCCCAAAGGTGTGCTGGAGAAAACCGGCCCCCACCCCCACCCCCACCCACCCGGTGAGTTTGAGCCTTGCTCTGCGGGTGGGGCCGGGCGGCTCGGTTTTCAGAGCGCAGCCTGCGCACAGGCAACACACTTTTTGTACAGCCCTCTGCGGGGTGGGTGCCCCGGGAGTGGCTGAGAGCACCCTGATACTTGTCCAGGGGACCCACCTTCCAGCCAGCCACTAATGAGGCGCTGCCAGGTGCAGGAAGCTGTGGGGTCCTAGAAGCGTTGTTCACCCAGTCTGGGGCGTCGAGGCGGGAACCTCGGGGGTGAGTAAAGCAGAATGGAGGGTGTACGGATATGGGGAGGCCCCGGTGACCGGGGCTGAGCGCTGGGGGAGAGCGATCGGGCAGTCGGCTTTTCAGTAAAGGTTCCAACCCAAGAAACTTGTCTCCATGGCCATGGCCAGGGTGAGCTGCGGCCCGTGGGGCAGGTCGGAACTGCCCCGTGCGTTTCCGGGACCGGACTATGACAGTCTAGTAGGAAGCCCCGTCGTTCTCCCGGGCGCTAGCTGCTGGTGGTTTCGAACCGCTGACCCCGCGGCCCACCGCGTAGCCGCTCCGCCGCCGGCGCCCCCGGGAGGCTGGGCTTTGTAAAGGCTGTGGGGCGGTTCGGCTCTACATTCCCGGGTCCCTATGAGTGGGGACCAATGGATGGCGACCCCGACGGGGTTTCGGCACCAGGGTTTGCTGCGTGCCCGGCATCAAAGTGGGCAGCGGGCCGAGGCCAGCGAAGAAGAAACGCCTGCGTCCGCGGTGGGGGAGGGCGCGGACGGGCGTTTCAGAAAAAGTGACTCACTGTGGCAGCGTGGGAGGGGAGCGCCTCCGGCCAGGCCGGCCAGGGGACTGGTGGCCAAAGCGGGCAGGAGGGCGCCCCCAACGAGCTGTCAGCAGCGAAGGGACCATTCTGAGAAAGGATGGGGCGAGAAGTCCCGAGGATTTTAAAAAAAAGGGCACGCACTCCGTAAAGCGCTGGGGAGCCGGAGAGGTAGGGCAGCGACGGGGCGGGGCTTCGGTCACCCAGGCAACGGGTCGCGGCAGCCCATTGGCTAGCGTTCCGTTGCGTCATCCCCCGGCTCGCGTGCCAGCTCTCGGAACCCCGGGGGCGAGGTCTGGGCGAGAGGTGCAGCCCCGCCCACCTGGAAGCGGGATGGGGTGCCAGCGGGTCTTCTCTCCCGATGGGATCCTGGCCTGGCATAAAGGGGGCTCCGAAAGCAATGCCGACGACCCGGGAGAGAGAAGGATAACTAAGTTGCAGAAAGTGGTTTTAAATGCTCTCTCGCGCTCCACTGTGGATGCGAAGCCACGCCCCGAGCGAGTCGGAATCCTTTACATGGTTCCGAGCGCCAGGGAGGGGAAGGCGGGGCGGGCGTCTCCGGCTGCGGGTGGGTGGCTCCGCCCAGCCAATCGGTGCCCCGCGGCGGGCAATGCTCCAGCCAATCAAGCCCGCGACTCCGCTCCGGGGCGGAGCTGGTTGGGCCCAAGGCCAGACAGAGAGGCCCCCGGGAGGTGAGCGAGGCACCAGCCCTGTCCTGGTGGGTCCAAACGCTGCAGCGTTCCGAGAGGTGGTCCCTGCGCAGCAAGGCAGTCAGGTGAGGAGTCAGGTGCCCGACTGCAGATCTACCGAGGGTCGAGGGAGGTGGAAGCGCGACCCTGGAATTGTGGTGACGGGGTCTGGGCGGGCGTGGGGGCGCAGAATAACAGTGGTTTGGGAGGTCTGCGCACAGGGCACGGAGTTCGAGATCCGGAACGGGAGGCAAAGTTGTTGGAGCGGGATCTTCAAATGGAGGGAGTCCCTAGGAGGGGTCATGGGGGTTTGGGGCGAAGTGAGAAAACTTGGGAGAAAGAACTTTGCGCCCAAGTCATCTGGAGATTAGGGCAATTGGTGTCTCCTGGTCGGGTGGGATTAGGGAACCTCCTACTATTCGGAAAACGGTGCGAGGTGTTTGGGGCTGGGGGATTTAGGAGCTGGGATCCCAGGCATTCAGATCTCAGGGTAATGAATCTTCCCGACGCAGTGGCCGGGAGCATTCGCGCTTCGGGTCTCCGGGCCGGCGGGGTAGTTTGGAGGTGAAGTCTAGGGGCTTCTGGCTGTTGGGGCAAAAGTTAAGGGGGAAGGTCTCCCAATTGGAATACCTCTTCTCCCGACGGAGTGGACCAAAGAGCACTGATGCTCTTGCAGATGAAATGCGTCGGGGTCTCCGAATCTGAGAGCGAGTTTTGAGAAACGATCTGTACCTGCTGGGGTCGGAGGAACCGAGAGAAAGCAGTTTGGGAGCTCGGGTGGGGGATGGGTGTTCCGGGCGTGAGTTCCGACCCGCCGCCGGGGAGGCAGGGGAGGGCGGGGCGGGGCGCCCAGCAGCTGGACGTCCGGGTTCCCTTCCCCCCACCCACCCGGGGTCCGTGTGCGCATGTCCTGCGGGAGGGTGGGGGGTGTTTCCTCTCCGCGAGCCCTCTGGGGATTGTAGTGCGTGCTCCACGTCACTGCCTGTGCCTGCTGGCGAAGGGGCCACGTTCCCAGAAGCCCACGGGCGAGGCGGGGCGGGGCGAGGTCTGATTGGGTGTGTCCGAGTGGGTGGGGCTTGGCGTGACTTTCCTTCTAGCCAGTTTTCCTCCAGGGCGAAATTCAGGCGGGGGCTGGGCAGAGGGCGGCCTCTTCTAGCTTGGGGGAGAGTTCCCAGTGAGCTAAGGAAGAGGGCACGAAAAAGAAATAGTCCCGTGCACCCGCAGGGCTCCCCGTAACCTCAGTAGGAGGGAGCTTCTAAAAGTTCGTGGCCCAAAGGAAACTGTTAAGGGAATAAAGGGCTAGTAGCTCCGATTTCTGAACCACTACGTGTGTGGTAGGCTCTGTGCCTACTGCATGCATGACGTCCTTGACAACGTGGTGAGAAGTATTTTTGCCATCCCCGTTTTTCAGATGAGGAAACGGAGGCCCACAGGGGTGACTGTCTTGTCACTTCCATCTCACAGCCGAGCAGTGTCCAAAGGCAGGATTCAAACCCAGGATTCTCTGCTTCCAGTCCAGGTCTCTAGAGCACTGAATGTCGTGGGGAGAACAGATTGTAAGACTCAGAGTTAGGAGCCCTGTTTTGCAGATGGAAACCAGTCTCAGAGAAGTAAAGCCACTTTTTGAGGCGACTCGAGCAAGTGGGTAAGATGCAGCCCCCACCATGTGCAGATCTTTTACTCTCCCCAGCCCTGTGAGGTTCACACTAGCTCCATTTTGCAGATGAGGAAACGTGAGCGCATTAAAGGCATCAACAAGCCGACAGCGAGAAAGTGGGGTTTGAACTCGCCCCCTGGGTCTGACTTGCCCTCTCTCTCCACAGAGCATCATGGGAGGCTTGAAAAGGAAACACCCGGACTTGGAAGAGGAAGAAGAAGAAGAGGCGTGGGGCTGGGGCCCAGCTGGCCCTCGGAGCTATCAGCAAGCCCTTCTCCGAATTTCCCTCGACAAGGTCCAACACAGCCCAGGCCCCCGCGCACCCAGCCTCCGCAGACATGTCCTCATCCACAACACCCTGCAGCAGCTCCAGGCCGCTCTGCGCCTCACTCCGGCCCCTGCCCTACCCCCAGAGCCCCTCTTCTTGGGGGAAGAGGATTTCTCCCTGTCAGCCACCATCGGCTCCATCCTCAGAGAACTGGAGACTTCCATGGACGAGGCTGAGTGCCCTCCCAGCCCAGTGGTCCTACCAGGCCCGCAGGCTGAATCACTGCCCCAGGCTGATCCTGTCTTCCTGGAGTCCCTGAGTTCCCGGTACCTGGGTGACTCGAATAACTCTGGCCTGGATGACTTCTTCCCGGACATTGACACGTCGGCGGTTGAGAAGGAGCCCCTGGTGGCCCCTCCAGAGGCCCCTCACAACCTCTTCTGTGCCCCAGGATCCTGGGAGTGGAATGAACTAGATCACATCATGGAGATCATTCTTGGGTCCTAAAACTCTGGGGTGGCGTGGGGGACCTTTCTCATCTCGGCCTTGGTTGGCTGGCTCCCCGGGTGCTCCTCTGTATTTGTTGGGAGGGGGGGTGCCAAAGCATAGGCCAAGCCTCCCTACTCCCCCAATTTCAGGGTTCCACCAACCATTTTGCATGTGTGTGTGTCTGGTGACCCCAGCCTTCCATGAAGGCGGGTCTTCTGGAATTAATTTATCTCTTCCAAATGCCTTAACAAGACTGTTTCGGGGGGAGGGGGTATCTCATTGCTCCCTCCCCATATTTTTCTGCCTTTTCCTCCTCCTGTGACCACTGGGGCCTCAGGGAAGAGAAATCTGGGCCAGGGTCAGATGGCCTGACCATGCCACCTGGTTGCTGTGAAAACCCAGGCTCGGCCTCTTGCACCTCCACAAGAAGGGACAGGGAAGAGGCTGGCCTCCTCCCTACAGACAGAATCCACCTTCCTGGGCAGGACCTCTGTTCCTAAAACCAGGCCGGATCACGTGCAATAGGGTGGAAACCAAACTGTCCCATGCCGCGCGGTATTTAACAGAAAAGGCGGGTTTTGTGGTGGCTTTTTTTTTTTTTTTTGATGGTTTGTAATTGTATTTTTTAATAAAAGTTTCCTTTTGGCAGCGGTGTTGCTACCTGAAGTCTGTAAATATTCTTGGGCTAACCTGAGGGGCCTGGCCCGGTCTCTGGACACTTGCACACTTGCCCCACCAAGCTGAAACACGAGATGTCCGGTTGAGTGTTCTTTCCGACCCGGGCTGTGCCAACCACCGGATATGAATGAAGCCCTTGTTCTTAATGGGTGGAAGTGGTGGTGGTAGGCATCGTCCAGTTGGCTCCAAATCATAGCAAGCCCCACATCACCAGAGAAGGAAACAATGTCCCACCCCAGCCATCCTTAGAGTTGTGACTGTCTGAGCCCATTGTTGGCAGCCATGGTGTCTATCCATCTCCTCGATGGTCTTCTTCCTTTACCATGACTGCTGTGTGTGGTGACCCTTCCCAAGGACTGGCCTCTCGATGACATGTCCAAAGTACGGGAGACAAAGTCTCGCCATTCTGTCTTCTAAGGAGCATTCTAAGGTACTTCATGAAAAGATTGGTAGTGATTCCCATTTGCACAGAAGGAGCCTGAGGTTCACAGAGGCCAAGTCACTGCCTCACAGGGAGTCAGGGCTCAACTCGAGTCTGTCCCCAGAACGTATAGGTCTAACGAATGTATGTGTGGTGTGTCATGGTGGATCCGGACTCCCAAGCCAACTGTACTGAGCCCATATTAAAAAAAATAACAAACACTGACATTGGGTCAATTCTGACTCATAGTGACCCTATAGAAAAGAGAATTGCCCTCTGGGTTTCCAAGAGTAAATATGGGAGTAGGAAAACCTCACCACCACACGCTGGAGGGACAGTGGTTATAAGATGGGCTGAGAGCTGCAAGGTTAGCAGTTCGAAACTACCACCAGCTCCTCAGGAGAAAGACTTGGGGTTTTTTTGTCTTCCAAGCAGGTGTGGGTTTCAAACCACTGACCTTGGCAGTTATCAGCTCAAATACATACCCCACCAGGGCTCCTAGGTTGAACCCATACACTCGCTGCTGTGGAGTCAGTTCTGACTCATGGCAACCTATAGGACAGGGTAGAGCTGCCCCTGTAGGTTCCCATGCCAGAACTCTTTACGGCCGGTAGAAAGAATCATTCTGTGGAGCGGGTGGTGGTTTTGAACCGATGACCCTGCAGTTAGCAGCCCAACATGTAACCATTAAGGCACCTGAGCTGATGGAGCCCCACAGGCGGGCACAAGAGGGGGAAACTGGGTCACATGGGGTGTCATAGAATCTGGCACTTAAGAATTTGTCGGCTTCTTAAGCCACACAGTGCTCCGCTGAGACTAGAGGGGAAGCCATACGCCCAGAGACTCCCAGGACTCAAAGATCTTTGTAGGAGGCTGGGTCGGCTTAAGAAGCAGAGCTGAATGTTTTATTTGGAAGATACAAACCTGGCTAGCAGGAGGGAATGGGGGTGGGGGGCAGGGCAACCAGGCTCAATGCAATTGATACAAAGTTCAATGCTGCTGTACAGACTCGGTCTGTACAAAGACCTTTGCCGGGGTGGCAGGTGAGTTTCTGTAGCCTTGGAAACTTCAGGAAGGCTTACAGGGAGAAGTTGCATGGTACACCCATCCAGAGAGAGAGAGAGAGAGAGAGTGGGGTTGTCCAGGGCACCTCAAGAAAATATAATATGCAAAGCAAATTGGATCATGGCTTCCTCCTGAAAGAGTCCAGTGGCTTCTAATCACATTCAGAATCAAAGTCCATTCCAGCCTGGGAGACCTGTCTTCAGCTGCTCCAATCTCCTGTCCTACTCTCTCTCACTCAACTACAGTGACATTGGCCTCCTTAGCCCTTGGTAGGATGGGTGGTCTTAAAAGCCCCACCAAGTCCTTGTGTGGGACTAGGCAAATAAGTGCTTGTGGCCCCCAAGGAGATTGGACGGCTTGCTCATGATGAAAATAAGGTATGTGGCCCCCGTGTGCTGGTAGGATCAAACAAATGAGGTGTACGACATCCTAATTGTGGTAGTTACATAACCTGGTCTCCCTGGATTTGTTTTTCTAGTCTACCCGGACTAACACACTAATGAAGCAATTGGTCACTGTTGCCACCCTGCTAGGCTTAAGAGAGAGTAGAGGGGACTGACTACCACCAAGAAGAGACAGGAGCAGAGTGCTTCATTTGGACCCTGTGAGGGGGGCTTCTGACCCACAGAGCAGGAGGATTGAGCACCCGATGAGAGAACTGTATTCTGAGTCGTTCCTGATCCTGAATGTAACCTGGTTGCTTCCCTAATAAACTCCACAATGCTGAGTATGGTCGGTGAGATCTGAGTGGCAAGGTAAAAAGGTTGGAAAGAAGGGGCATGTCAGACCTCCACACCACAGGCAAGCCTGGAGCCTTTGACCTTGAGTCCCTCTCCCCATCTTGAAGGAAGACAAGGTCGGAGCCTCTGATAACTCCATGCTTACATCCCTCAAACTCACTCCATCTCAGGTAGGTCCGCTGCTGCTGCCCTTGCTAATGACACACCATCCAGGTACACAGTCCCCTGCACCCCCACATTCCATCACATTCTGTTTGCTTTTCTTCATAGCACCTATCCAATGTGGAATTTACTTGTTTATCTCTGGCCTCCTGTTTGCCTGGAAACTCTTAAGGGAGAGGTGGTATTTATCTTCTCCCAGCTGTCTCCCCACCCTGGCTAGCACAGTGAGGGTTCCAGGTAGGTGCTCCAAAAATATTTCTTAATTAAAAAAACAAAAACACAATGAACTCCAAACCTTGTAATCACAGGCATCCCACCCACCTCTCTGAACTCCCCCCTCGCCCTGCTCCCGCGGATGCTCCAGCCAACAGGATTCTGCCGTATTTCTCAACCACCACTATAACCCAGTCTCTTGGAGCAACTGGAATTTGGTACAGGGGGTTAGGACTCACTACGTTTATTGAGTTCCTACTGCAAGGAAACCAAGCACCGGTGGCATAGTGGCCACCCACTGAGCTACTCACCTAAGGCACCAGTTCAAATCCACCATCCACTCTGTAGAAAGATGAAGCTCTCTTCTTGATATGAATGAACTATGGAATGATATAGGTGGAAGAAGTGCTCATAAAACTGTTTTAAAGAGAGAGAAAGAGACAGAGAGAGAGAGGAAGCTGTCTGCTTCTGTGAAGATCTAAAGTCTCAGAAACCCGAAGTGGCAGTTCTGTTGTGTCAGTTGTAATCAACTCATGGCTGGGTTTGTAGGCACCCCGGTGGTGCAGCCAGTTACACATTGGGCTGCTAACCGCAAGGTCAGCAGTTGAAAACCACCAGCTGCTCGGTGGGAGAGAGACGAGCTTTTCTACTCTGAGAAAGTTATAATCCTGGAACCCCCAGGGGCCACGAGCCCCTGTCCCATAGGATTATGATGAGTCAGAATGTATTCAACGGCAGTGAGATTTTTTTTCACTATGAGGAGCTCTGGTGGTGTAGTGGTTATGTGATGCGCTGCTTATCCCAAGGTCGGCAGTTCAAAACCCACCGGCAACTCCACAGGGAAAAGACAAGGCTTTCTGCTCCAGTAAAAAGTCAGTCTCAGAAACCCACAGGGTCACTATGAGTGACCATAGCAAGGTTTGCTTTTGGCTACTGTGTGTCCTGTGAAATAGATAATTCCTACACTTATGAAGTATCATGGGGGGGTGGGGGGGCTGGGCTGAAAGAAACATCAGAAATAAGCAAATTGTGCCAGCTTCCCTGAGGTTGGGGGTCGAGCAGAGCGTTCCAGGAAGGAGGAGGTCAGTGTGGCTGGACTTGAGGTGAAGGAGGGAAGTACTGGGTCCTGGGGGCCTTCAGCTTTGTCCTGAGTGAGCTGAGAGGGCGGGTGTGGGGCAGAGGAGGTACACAACCTGACTCAACATTGAGTAGGCTCTCTGGCTGCTCTGAGGATAGCTTGCTGGTGCCACACTGAGCCCCAGTAGGCACCCCTACTTTCCAGGGTTTGAACTACCGAGCTTGCCGTTAGCAGCCCAACTTGTAGCCCGCTGCCCCATCGGGGCGCCCCAAGGTCCGGCACCTGTTAGAAGACCTGGCCGGAAAGTGGCAAGGCCTGCCCGCACACGGGAGCTCGGGGCCCCAGCGGGCAGAGTCCAGTTCCCCAACCTGCCCGCCCCCGCGGGCCTGCGCTTCGCGATTGGCCCGCAGGCCTCGAGGGGCGTGGCCGGGCGACGAGGCCCCGCCCACCCTCCGCTCC